TATATATATATATATATATATATATATATATGTAAAAAGAAAAAGACACATTTAAAAAGAAAATGCAAAATAACAACAAGAAAGATGAGCAAAATCAAATAAAATCATCATCAATATTTGGAAACCTTACATATATTGTATACTAAGCTATCTGAATGTTGATGGCTTAACACTTAAATACAAGTAGATACAAACCAGTAATATGGATATTGTTAAAGATAGGCTCTGTGTCTGCACCTTAAAGCTTTCTCTCTCTCCGGTTCTTTTTCCGGAAAAGAGATCAGTCGGGATAAACTCTATAAATAACGCTTCATAACTTATATGTATTAAATAACCATGAGACATGACAACAGATTTTGATAGAAATTGTAATCTTACTCAGATCAGAGAAGTTGCTTAGAGTTACAGAACGTAGCTGCTCACCCTCAATCTCAGTTCCCGGGAAGTGGCCTTGATTAACAGTTAAAGTGGTATTTTATACAATTCCCGTCTGCCACATAATCACATTTTACATCATACAAGTCAGCAGATGAGGAGATATTCATGGCTCCAGCCTTATCAAAATATTACACTTTGTTCTTAGCTGAAGGACACCGCTCTCATTCCATTCCCAAATATTAGCTACATACAGAATGACGATTATAACTGTATATCCGGACAGAGGAACTGTCCTAATTAGATAAACTATTGGGGAAAACCTCAGTTCTGATACACAACAGGCAGCTAATATTAGGTGTAATAAACTCAAACATCATCAATGATAATTATCCTAAAATTTCTTTAGAAAAACATCAGCTGCTCATGATGGGCAAGTACAACCATGCATCATTAGAATGTTAAAATTACTAATAGGATTACTCACCCCCAATTATATGCCTAATTATACCTGAAACGGATGCTTGTGTATTTTCTTCCTGTATGTTTAACATGTTTGAAAGTTAGGTGAAAACTCTCTTGCCAAAAAGTCTGCAGTAACTGTGGCAAGAAGGAGGCATAGACGCAATGACAGAAAGGAGAGAGAGATAAAACTAGCTTTTATGTGTATCAATATATTTGGATTTTCAGAAATGAAAATAGTAGTGACACATTTTCCATCAAACAATGCAGACCCTTCAGCCCACCATCAGGGTGCTGCGTCGTCTTGCACTTGTTCGTGTATACTTTTAATTTCCATCATCAGATCTAGTAGGGATGTAATTTGCAACAAGTCTGTCCTTTAGAAATAGAAAAAATGCATGAAATGAACTGCAGCACTTATAATATAAAGGTGCTCTTTCTCCATAGAGAGTGCACATTTCTCTCTCAGTTCTAAAATGTATAACAAAAGGTGAAAATATGCAACTTTCAGTGGCTAGTTTTCTCTTTTCTATACAATGATGGTCATTGGTCTCTATCGTCACCTCACAGCCTTAGTGAATTGCTGATATGTGTCACATTCATAACATGCAAGAAACAGAGCTTCTGTTGATACAGCATTTTATTAGAGCCAACATTACATATTCTTTGCTCCATACTCAAGGGTGATGCTGTTGGTGAGAAAGACATCCAGAAAAAAATAAAACGCACTCTAATATCTCACTGGACTGCCTTCAGCTTAAATTATGGCCTGGTTTTGCCCTGCAGTCATTTTGATAAGCTTCTGCTTTTTCACAACATTGATTTCCTTCCACACTTACATCTGTTTCCCATCAAAATCTTGTAGAATTGATGGAAGAAACAGACCGTTCTGCAAAACCCCATCTAAAAATACCATGGGGTTAAGGTCTGGAATCCGTAGTGGCTAAACCATGTTTAAATTGTATCTCATGCTTCTTGAGCCACTCTTGCATTTTTGTTTAAGAATATGCCTGTCATGTCAGTGAAGACATTTGCTGATGGAATAACCTGGTTTTGCAGAATATTCAGTGAATAAGCTTATCTCATGCTTTGGACTCATAATGTTGCTGAATTCAGATCAAAACTAGAACATCATGACTCAATGCACCTTTTCCAGATCCTGCAGCCCCATCAATTTGGAACAGGCTAAGAAATGACTCATTAAGACCTTCAATCATTCTAACTCCATGGTCAGTTATTCTTTTGTTTTTTACTCTAATTTAACAAACTTTTGTTTGCTCAACATTTTTCTTCACATAATTTCTTGTAAACCTCAAGCTTGAATTGCCTCACCAACAGGCCTGAGCCTAAGGCTTAAAAAATGTGAGATTTGCATTGTTTTATCACAAATAAATCAAGAGTAAAATCTTTGATTTAAATGAAAATTTATTCATGAGCTTCCATACTGTAGGTACCAAAAGTTTGCATTAAGACCTGATAACTGGGGAGGAGTTATTTTTGTTGTATTTATTATAATCAGGCATTAGCTCTGAATCCCTCTGGATTTAATAGGTAACCCCAATTATGTTTTCTTTACTTGATGTGCACCAATAATTAGAACACTCAGCTGATCACCTGCAATATCTTTTCCACAACCACAGGATGTGACAGCATGACTTTGTAAGAAATTAGAATCTCCTCGCTGTATCCCATGGTCTTACCCTTTGCTTTATGGAGTATTGGTTGTGAATACTCTTTTGTTTGACATGCAGAACAGCTACAAAATATGACACTGATCAGACAATAATTCACTTTTTATCTTTGTTTTTGTTTGTCACTGGTCAGCGTAGATTTCTTGGTGCACTTTACATTAGCGCTTGAGTTAGCAGTGTGCATAAGAAGAAGAATTAAGGCTAAGAAAATGCAACACATGCAACATATCTAAACTTTTGAACGATAATTTATCTGCTATCAACAGTCTTTGCCTTTTAAAGACAGCTTTATCGGTATCTGTACTCGTTTACTGTATCTAGTTTTTTCACATGGAAGAAATGTACCTCCATAAATAGAATTTTTATGCATCTCTTTCCTTGTTCTGGAATATAGAGGACTGACTTATTGAGGTAGATTTTTTCATATATCTTAACCCGTAAAAGAGGAGAGCCAGAGCACACAGAAATCCAAACCACTGTCATTCCTTTAGCAGATAAAATTTAGCTCATGGCTGCTTTACAGAGGAAGCATTGCTGCATTAGAGCATGATTCTACCTTATTAGAAAGCCAGATCTGTAAACATTGCCCCAAACTTACCCTCTTCCGACTCCCTACAGTGATGCGCCTATTCCTGATCTCCAAAGACAGCCGTGCTCATTTTCATCCTTTGTTTTTCTCTGTCTTTATTCTTTCAGTGCACTCCCATCGGCGGCCACGGATTTGTGCTGGACAAATACAAGTGCCAGTGTAGGAAAGGATTTTACCATCCGAGCCGGGTGGCGCTCAATGGCTTTAAAAGTAGGTTACACATTTTGTTGTATTATAAAAAACGGCATTGTGTAATTTCTACACACCATAGCTATAAAAGATCCTGATGGTATCGTTTAAAGGAATACAGCTGCCAGTTTCAACTGAAATGTATACAGCCTCTGAAGTGTGTACAGCCTCTACTGCTGACAAACTTCAAAGTTCTTGATCAAATTCGGACAAAATATTCAACTTTTCATGTTGAAGCCAAAATCTTCATGCATTTCTATGTGTTTTTATGTCAATATGATGACCAGTAAAGCAATTCTGTCTTCTCCGTAGGTATTTTATATAGGGGTACCAGAGCAAAAAGGGCTGAATCCAAATGCATGCAGCACTTTAATTTTTTTTGATAAGCACACCATGTCATGTTGGTTTGTAGTTTTTTAACCCACATGCAGAATCACACAGAGAACCAGTGAACTTTAATGCTTTATTTGCAAAAGCAACAAGAATCTGGAAGCAGAGAACTGCAGGAAGCTAGTAGAACTTTCTGGTTAGTCTGATGGGAGAAAGTAGACTGATCAGGAAGGGTTTGGTTGATGACAACTGATGACTGATTGATTTGCTGACATGAGGGATGAAGGGGAAATAGCATGGATCTGTGGGGGTTTGATTCAGCATGCTTTGCAGACTGAACCCCAAAGGTCCAGAAGAATGTGACTGAGATCCAAGAGCGTTGGTAACTGCCAGAGACGTCGTGCTGGAGAGCAGGCAGGTGATGAAGACTGAGAACTGCTGCACACAGTTAAGACCTTTTTCATGAAGATGGGGAACAAACAGAGTTTCACTATAGTTGTCTGGAACAATAACAGAGTCCACAATAAAAGAGATTCACAAGAAGACAAATTCAACCACAAGGATATTCCTGGTTTAGGTCATTGGCTGGAATGTCATTGGTGGTAATCATCTGGCAAAGAGAGATGACACTTAATTTCCTTATATAGAGGCTAGCCATCTTGAAATAGAAATTTTGTCAGGTTTGCAGCAACACCGCTGGGCCCAGCCACCAGCAAAGATCCTCTCTGTGACAGGAAGCTCACTTACACCAGAAAAACAGCCAACTCAATGCCAGGTTCCAGCTCCAGAGTTCTTTGACAGGAGTGCTTACCTTAGGTGGATCTGTCTTGTGCTCCAGTCTCTGAGTTCTCTGACGATCATGTCCAGCCTAGAATCTTTCTAAGCTCCTTTACAAATTATGATCCTCAGAGCTCCTTTGTAGGTTTCCATTACCAGGGTTCTGGATAACAGTCTCCTGGAAAAGAATCATGAACATTCTACTTGACCTTCTCATTTGGTTTAGCAACTCTGCTAATGCTGCTGGCCTCCAGGACTCTATGCTCTGAGGGAAAACCTCTTTTTCCTGCCGTACCTCTGGGATTTTGTTTTGTTTTCTTGTCCTTCCATCTCTGCCCTCCTGATTCACACTGTCTTTATCTTCTTGGATTCTTTGGAGCATCCAGTAACTGCCCTTGAGGGGAAGTATGTGTCATGGTCTACACCTGTTTTGTCTCTTGTTAATTCCACCTACCTATTTTCCATGTAGTTCTGGTTTTGGTCTCATTTTTTGGCGAGTTTCCATTTTTTTTCCCCTGATTCATGATTTGCATTTGTGCATTATTATTCTGAGAAGCTGACTGGAAGCAGGGCTGTGTGCTTGGGCAGAAAGGCTTCCCTTGATGAGGAACAAATAATCAGGCGGTTTTGATCCCATCTCAATCCCAGCTCCAACATGCGTTCCCCCTGGAGGTCAATATACTAAGCTGGAGCTTTATTATAATGCCTTGTGATGAGTCCTGCAGTCAAGAGGTTCAGTGTGGGAAGATACTCTTTTTTTTCAAACCCTGTGCAGACCACCTCTTAAGAAAATGCAGCTTGTGGCACCTCTGATTCTCCTGCCTGTAACCTGAGTTTGTTCTTTGTGAAAGAAAAAGATAGATCAAAGAGGAAGGAGTTTTTATGTTGTTCCCTGGCAACAAGCTGAAAGAAACCCAGGGTGCCTATAGATTACCTTTTTTGGATCTTTCTTGGCAATGTCTTGTAGGTTAGAGTTCATTTAAAATATTGATGCACAAAGGTGAGTTCTGCAGCCTGTTTGAGCAGAGCTTTATATTAAAGAACTTGGTTTTGCTGTAATTTATTGTTTTTTCACATGTCATGAATTTACTTGAACTTATCCCTGAGTTGATTCTCAGTCAGCTATATCATTTTTTTCAGGGAAAAAAGTGCACGCTAATTGTTAGAGTTACTCACTTTTTTTCTTTATGTTTTTGGTGGTTCCTCCTCATCTCGTGTTATCCCTGGGATTTTCCTTCTGAACTGTGCTTTTTGTTCAGACATTACTTTGGCATTTTCTAAAATTACTTCTTTTCATCACGCTGGTCACTGTGTCTGTGCAATAAACAACATCTTGTTTGTAAGTTAATAAGAATCGATAAGTACCATTATAAACAACAGTAAAATCACATATATATATATATATATATATATATATATATATATATATATATATATATATATATATATATATATATGCTGGATGCTTTGATTGTTTGTTTTCCTTTGAAAGGTATTTTATCTTTCCTTTAAAACACCACAGACCATGCATCACTCAGAATTGGTTTGGAGAAGAAAATCGGAGGCTTTAAACAATCTATTCAATTTAAACAATCTCTAAAATTTAGAAGATAATAAGGATGTTATTTTTCTGCCTTGAAACTAGTGTTGCGCCGATGCCATTTTTTTGGCCCCAATACCGATACCATATTAATACCATCTGTTTGAAATTGATATGTGTGTGTATATATGAAGAACTGCATACTGTACTACTTGGATGTAAAATAATTGCCATCATGGCTTTGTCAAGCTGCTGACTACCTTTGTGAAGCAGGAAAAACACTAATACAAAGTGAATCCAGGAGAACTTTTTATTGCCTACCTGGAATGGGTGACAATAGTTGAATAAACTTTTGGCTCTAAAATGGAATTGGTGCCCTATTTGACGCACCTATTTGGCACAAATAAAACTGACTCTATAAAGAATAGAGACTAAAGATAAACAATCTGGTTTATTGACAGAAATAATAGAGCCTGCTTTTCACAAAGAAAAGCTACTGCTCCCCTTAACTAAACTAGTGAAAAAAAAAATTAAAAAAAATCAATTTTTGTTAAATAGTTTTTTTTTTTTTACATCAGAACCAAGTAAAGTGATTGCCTCTGCAGATGTAGCACATTCTCATGGAATATTTCCCATCAGGTATTGTGCTTTGGGAGGTTCAGAACTGCGATCAATTTTATCCTTCTACTGGGTCTCTGAATGTTATTTAAAAAAAATCTGAACTGAAAGTCTGTAAAGTGCCTTAAATTGACATGATGTTAAATGCAATATATAATTAAAACTTATTCAATGTAACTTCATTGTTTGCAGATAGTAGTGACTGTAGTATGAATAAATGCAGCATCTTGATTTAGGAAAACGTATTAAAGGGAGAAGGATAAAGGGGACAGTGTTGTAGTATTGTATCCTCCTTTTATTCATTGTTACCTCGTCTGCTTAATTAAAAGCTGAACTCTTTAATCATCACCCAAGGCCTTGGGATTTATTTGACTAATGATCTTTTATCTCCAGAACTGACAAACTGAGCAGTTATAAGAAGCCACAGTGGAATGTGAATCAATGAATTATAATCCTACAAAACCCCACAGTATATTAGCATTGAGATGCTTTAAGATATGAGCATTTCATAACGCTTTCCTCCATTAAGACTCAAGATCATTATGTGCCATTCAAACAAAATCACTAATGAATCCCTACATCCTCAGACAGGGAGCAAAGCTCTTACAGAGATGAGACCTCTGACGTGTCCAACAAGTGCCTGCCATGCAGGGAGGGCTGCCCATACTGCCAGGACGACACGCCCTGCTTGGTGCAGGAGGACGGCGGTCTGCGGCTCTCCGTGGCCTCCTTCCAGGGTCTGTGCATGATGCTGGACCTCGCAAGCATGCTCCTGGTCTACCGTTTCAGGAGAAACAAGGTGAGCGGAACAGGGAGGGCATTAAGAAAGAGTGCTAGAGGTTTGCTTTGATTCCTAAAGTGACTCTTTTGTTCAGTCCAGTAATGTCATCTGTTGCAAATGCATTAAATCAGGTTGTTTAGAAGAAAGAAAAGATCAAACTTTGTGTCTACAACTATTTTCAGTTTTGTTAAGCTTTGATATGCCAATTAGCTACTTTGTTTCAGGATATGTGGAACCATGGTGTCCAAATGTTTTTCCACATGCATCATATTTGGGGTTAAAATCTGCCTGCAGGTCGAAAAAAAAAAAAAAAAAAAGAACCATGGTGTCCAAATGTTTTTCCACATGCATCATATTTGGGGTTAAAATCTGCCTGCAGGTCGAAAAAAAAAAAAAAAAAAGAACTGATATATTTCAAATGCTTAATATATATATATTAAGGTATCTGGAATTAGAAATGTAGTGATCCGTTTTTTTTTTTTCAATCCAATCCGATTAACGATACCTAGGCTGAGGGTATCAGTCGATATCCGATCCAATTCAACTGTTGAATGAATGAACCATATATCTTGCCATGTGAATGAATGCTTTAGCCTTCACATAAATGTTGTCCTTGAGTTTTTTTCTTGAACATATTGCATAACAACACCAAACATTTTGCTTGTACCAAACATTTTAGATCATTTTATACTGTATCTTTTCTCCTTTAATTTCTGACCAAAAAAGCCACTCATACATTTTTTCTTTATGCACAGGAGACTTCTGAACCTTTAAGTGAAATGGAAAAAATCTAAATCTAGAGAAGTCTGTTTTTTTTTTTTTTAAATAAGTGCATTTATTGCTGATTTGAGCAGGTAAAAGAGACGTTTCGCCAACGGAAAAAGGCAATTTACATTGCATTGTCTCATTTCAAGTGCATATTATCAGAATATCTTATTTTAAGAGTAAAAATATTAATTTCAGTGGCAAATCGTGTCATTTACCTACTCAAATTAAGGGTAAATGCACTTAATTTGAGAGATGTTTAGTTATTTCTCGATTGTTTTTCCAGTGTAGAATTTTTATTAATATTTTCTCACCAAATATATCATTATAAATAACTGAAATTGGATAAAGCAAGGGCCTTCAAATCTGGTTCTTGGAGGCCAAAGTCCTTAGCCCCCTTAGAAGGGTTAGGGTTAGTGTGTCTGCAGGGTTCTGCAGAGCTGTCTGCTGCTAAATCCAAGTGTGAAGGGCAGGTGCACATCTTAAAGTTGCAGAGGACAGGTCCTTAAAGATTTGAGAGTAAGAAGGCTTTGATAACAGCTATTAAGATACAGTTGAGAAAAACTTTGTATTGATTACACTTTCTAAAATTGCCTTTCTTCCGCTATTCATCAACCTCCCACTCTCCTAAGTGCCAAAAACCCATTATAGGCAATCAAAAGGGGCTAATTACACTTTATATCGTGGAGTTATGCTGCAAAAAGAATTATATGTAAATAAGTCGGATACAGTTAGCCAAGCATATTTACTGCCTTATCCATAGTGTAAAGAAAATAAAGTTCTTTATGGTTTACAATTATTTTTCTAAACCTCAAATATTAAACCTCCACTACACATAGGGACTTGTTTCAAGTTGTTGCCTAAGATGCTCTTTGGCAACAGAAATGAAGTAATAAAGGATCATTGTTGCTAAACTTGTCTGTTTGCAGCCTTTGGGAAAAACTAAGCTGCAACTTTTGTAGGTCAGCAAATTAAAGATTATCTATGTTTGCTGCTGTAGAATCTCCTGTTTTGTTTTATTTTTCAAATCACAAGAAATATCCCTTGGGATTTTCATCACCACTATTATAAAATATCTGTTTTTTTGCATTGTGCCTTAAAAAACCCCCCACAAGACTGTGAATAAATATATATTCTTTACTTCCCTCTGTTGTTTGATTTGAAACAGGGGAATTATTTCGTCAGTACAGTTACTGAATCTGAACAAGTTTTGATTTTAGATAACACAGCTAAAGGATTAAGTTGTAGTATTTACAAATAATTAAATTCATAGAAATGAGCAAATGTGAACATAAAAGAAATATAATCTGCAACAACAGAAGCCAGGAAGTAAATCTGTGACTAACCTTCTAAACAGACACCTTAAGTGTCTCAAACTTCATCTGTGCTGCAAAGTTCTTAAATTGAGCTTTTTTAACGATTACTCTGATGTTTCCTGTTTTTCTCTCTTTTCCACAGAGTATCCGTACATCTGGTCTCATTCTACTGGAAGCCATCTTGTTCGGGGCGTTACTGCTGTACTTCCCAGTAAGTCTCAAATTTGATCTAGCTGACCCATAACCTTCAAAATGGACTGTTTGTTGGGGCTTTCAAAGAAACCACAAGGCCTTGCAAAAATATAGACACTTTTAAAATTTGGCACATTTTTTTAAAAGTAATAACTACAAACTTGGTATTTTTATTATCATGTTATGGATCAAGAAAACATAGAACATTAAAGAAAAATCAAACATTGCTTGAAGTACTTTCTGCTTTCTCTATATGCCTATAGCCCTAAATAAACTCCCATCCAACCAATTCATCTTATTAGTGAATAGGGTCTCCTTATAGGCAGAATAATCTTACTACAAATAAAACTGTATTCATAAAACTGTATCATGAAGAACAAAACATACAGCAGACTAGTAAGGAATTATGTTATGAATGAGGTTTAAAGCAGGATTGGCTTCTAAAATAAAATCAAAGCTTATGAAACCATAAAAAATGCACAGTTTAATCCATCGACTGAAAATGGAAAGAATAGAGCACGATTTCCACTACTAAGGTGCCAGAATCTGTAAACAGATTTAATAATGTACAAAGAGGCCCCTGTTGAATGAAATCCTGCTTGCTGTCTACCTCAGATCACATAACAGTGTGCCTTACAGTAATTGAAATTCTTTGCCTAGAGGTGAAAATCTATTTTCAGTGCAATACTGCAGATTGCCATAAGCATCATTTTACCTGGACAGTGTTGATGGGATAATGGATGTAGCTAAATACGGGGAAATCCTGTTGAAAAGCTGCAGGTAAATTGACAGCGAAGGTTCACCTTTCAGCAGGAGAGCAGCCCTAATCATTCAGCCAGAGCTACAATGAAATGGCTCGGATTGAAGGATGTTCATCTATTCAGATGAACATCAGAGCATCTGACTACATGTTCATGTTACAACATATTCTGAAAACCTTCAGCACTTCTCCTTCCTTTTCTACCATCTCAAGCAAAACAGAGATGTTAACCTTATAGGTTTTTAAACTGAAAAGATCCAGAAAAAAAAAGTTAATGCACTGATAATTTGAAGTTTACTTCTGGAAATTTCTTCTTTTTACACGTCTTACACCCTTTGTTGTTGTTTGGAGGGGATTCTGTGATCATAAAAGTCTTTTTGCATTCAGACAGGATTAGCTGTGTTTGTAGTTTGGTTAAAATCTGTCTTAAAAGCTTAAGAAAATATTCTATTAACCAATGTTGTCTGACAGCATGGAAAGTAGAAGAACAGCACAGTGTGGGCCCCACCACCGAAACCGAAGTACCACCCACAGAATCAGTCATCAGATGGGCTAAATTAAGCAACAGCAGACATGGAGTTCTGTACTAATTGGTCAACTTTTGCAACATCTATTAGGAAAAATCTACAGTTGTTTTTTAATAACCTGATAAATGCTATGATATGATAAACTAATTTAGAACCTGTTTGAAGTGTGGAAAAACCTGGCTTGTATTTCCATACGCTGTTAGCTAATAAAGCTTTTAAATAGAATACATGGTGATATTGATGGTTTTGTGAGCACACAGTGGGAGGATGTGACTAGATGTGCTGTTGGCTCCAATATTACTTCATCTAATATTTTGCCTTCTTCATTTCTTTATTCTTATGTTTTTGACATGCCCTCATTATCATATCTGATTAAAAAACGATTGTATACTGTTTTTTTTTTCCTAATTAATTCTCCAAACAAACCTTGAGTATCACCTTTCTCTGCATTAGGTAGTCCAATACATGCTTTCCGGGTAATGCACTAACACTAACCCTACCCTAATGCACATCATTTTGAGTGACAGGGTAAAACTACCTGTCATAATCAAAGTTTAGCATTCTTTGCTGACAATATCCAAAAAAGAAAATTAAAAACAATCCACTAGAATTTGTGTCCACGTTTGAAAAAGTTTTGCTTCCCATCCAGGAAGCTTTTTCAAATGAAAATGTCAGGAATAGCGTTGAGTTGAAGGTTTTATACGCCTGGACCTGGATGACTGAGAACCTTCACCAGTATTTTGCTGCCAATAATTAAACTAATGCATTTATGTTCAGTATTCTTAATTCAGAGAATCCACACCAACCAGTTTAAAACTTGTACGATTGTCTCTGCAGTGAGAAAAAGTTAGACTCTGGTGCAAGCAATAATATAAACAAATGAAGAAATGACAAAATTAAACAAAAAACAAACAAACAGATAATCAGTCTCAACACATATTCCTAAAATCTCCCCCTGCTTCATGTGGACCTGAATTATGCACCTACTTGTATTTAATGTAATATCTCAAGTTGGATTCCTGCAGAGGTTACTGTCACCAGGTTTTGGACCTTTGCCTCGGACAGACGGCTTCTCGTCAAAGTTTTTATGTTGTTCTGTAGGCTGAATCGTAGACTAGCATTAAAAGTTTCTTTGCATCCAAAGTTTTAACCTGTGAGATACTTTCGCTAAATAATCAGAAGTCACCTTGTTGAAACATCAAATTATTACACCATATGCAACCAAGTGCTCAGGGTGTGAATTCTTATTTGCCAAAGTGACTGTTGGTTTTCAAATTGTTCAATAATAAAAAAAGGTAAAATGTTGAAAATATCCAGCCAACATAACCCATGCACCCCATGTACACCACAGTTTATAAGCTTGACTGCTTTGTCAATGCAAAGCTAATATCATGCTACCCCATGCAGACACTCTGTTTGTACTGATGAAGATTGATTTAATACCAATGCGTTATCTGAAGGACAGACCTTTAATACATGTACAAAGATTTTATGGTTCATAAACTGCACTTCTTTTCTTCACCTCTGCACCCATGCTGATGAAGATTCTCAGTCATCCAGTTCGTAGTCATTCCATAAAAGTTTTTTAAAAATCCACTTGACTTGGTTTCCAAGATTTGTAGACGTTTCGCTTCCCCTCCAGGAAGCTTTCTCCTTTCAACATTTGAATTGAGAATTTGAAGCGAAACGTCTTCAAATCTTGGAAACCAAGTCCAATGGATTTTTTAAAAACTTTTACGGAATCTGCACCCATGTATGAAGCAATTTTAGACACATCAGAATATGTAAGATTCAAAAATAGCATGTAAACAGCTTTTTCTGCTTTGCTTACTTGCTGTCTATGCGCTCTTTCAGAGAAAATAAGCTAATCTAGTTGACTGGCAATAGATCCTTTTATTACTAACTATCTCCTTTTTTTCCATTGTTGCTTCTTAATACATGATGGTATAACAACAGAATACCCTGATGTTAATTGTTTGTGTCTCGATAAGCTTAAAATCTCTAAAAATAGCTCCCGGAGTTGGAACTTATTCTATGATGTCCCCTCGGTCTCTCTCTGGACTTTGCCACCATGGAATTTCCTTTAGCTAGAATTAATGATGCACATCAAAGCAATGATCCCAACCAAGTCAACATTACTTTATGATTAAAGATGTATTAAAATCAGGATAATCTGTCTGAATATGAGGGAGTGTGAATGGTAAGTGGTAGCATTTGTGTGAGAGGCTGTATTTTGACATTGCCGATAAAAGTTTGACATTGTCGATAAAAATAATAGCAAAAAAGGAAATCATACTTAGTATATTCAATGAATACTGCTTTCTCTAGTGCTTTTACCAACATTATTAAAATGAAAATTGTTTTCTTTTGCAGAATCTAGGGCTTATATTGAGAACTTATTTGGGGGAAACAAATATGGAGCTCTTGCTTCATACTATTACATAGTATTAATGACAGACCCATATCCATTTATATCTAATTATACATTCTGAGCATGCAGCAAAAGAAAATCCCCTGTAGAGCTGAGGAAGACAAAACATGGACACAGNATATCCATTTATATCTAATTATACATTCTGAGCATGCAGCAAAAGAAAATCCTGAGCTGGTGTGTTTGTTCGTCTGTATGTGTACATTTTTATCAGATGTGTCTCTCATGCCAAGAAAGAATCCATTACATTTTGGTGATGATCCACATCATAATTTGGATACAGTAATTTTTCAATAGATGCAGTGTGAGATAAGGATATTTAGCGGAAAAAGCAGTTCCGCACTAAACCAAAGGGTGGCAGCAGTGACTATTTACAGTCTTAGAATCGGATCAAAAAAGTCTCGAGGTATTTTCCTGAAGACAACAACACATGAAAAAGGGAACGTTGCTGGTTGGTATCAGGATCAATGGATAACTTATGAATGAATTGTATGGATTCTTTTTTTTTTTTTTTTACCAGAGGTGTGCCTCATGCCAAGGAACTTAATTCAAATCTGGTAATGATCCAGATCATGTGCAAGCTAGCTATAGATGTAAGCTTTGCTGCTTGGCAGAGGTCTGCGCTCTCCAAGAGCTTTTCTATTTTCTATTATGTTTGCTGAATTTGCCACCAGAGATCTCTGCGATTCTTTGAATTGGTCCATTGGCTGCTTTTGTAATTAACACTCCCATATCAGTCTTATGAGTTTAGATGGATGAATATGCTTTAAGGACGACGGATTAAAAGTGCTGTGGAAGATATCCAAAACAAAACAATGGGGCTTCAATTTTAAAACTAAACATTATTTAATTTTCCATGCTTGACCTGTCTTCTGCATTTCCTATACATGATGCCTTTTGATAACTAATACTCTCCAACAAACCAAAGAGTTTTACACAACAGTGAAATATACAAACTAAAACACGCACTCTATTTCCAGATTGGGGGTCTTCTAAAGGCATTTTCTTACTCTGGAAAAAAAAAACCTAACCCACTAAGTAAATAACTAATATATTAAAATGCACCCCAGGCCTTTACAAAAATTTTTTGAAAAACGAATAAAACATTTTTTATTTTTATTTCACATAACTTTCTTGTGCTACTTTGATTTCTCCCAGTTCCATAGCTTAATAGGTCTGTTATGGGACAAAATGGAAAGTTACTTTCCTTTTTCTGTTCAGTAAATCCTACATTCTTGAGCTGTAGCTCACTACTATAGCATCAACTGTGTGATCACTGTCTGAACAATAACATTGAGTAG